CTTGAAAAAAGAAACAAACTCAGAGCCGTTCTATGAGCCACTATGCCGCGGCTAAAAAAGTCTTAAAAGAGTTTAGTTCGTGATCATTAAGACGATTTTACTCAACCAGAGACAGAATCAGCAGTGAAATATTCAAATCTAGTTCAACGTCAGTTTACCTGACAGTAGGAAAATATTCAGAAAAGTTAATATTATCTACTGATCAAAGCACGCCACCTACAGAGATCAGAACTAAACATGTATACTTAGTAATGAGCACAAATAATTAAATATAGTGTTCAAACTATATTGTTCATAATGACTAGAATACATTGTTTCATCTGTTGGGTACCCTCGCTTTTAACGATATTTTCGGTCATAAACCCAACAATATCTCAGCCAGCCCAAGAAGGTTACGTTTGTCATAAATTCATATACTAAGCTAACAATGCAGAATAATCGTTATATTAAGATAATAAACGGAAAAAAGTAAGTTAGAAAAAATAAATGTATATATATGTTAAATATTCTAACCAATATTGTGTGTCCACACTGTACAACGTTAGCCTATTCGACAGTAGAGAAATAGTTAAATCACCTTCACCATATGTTACTTGACAAATAGGAAAGAATAAAAACAAATTAATTTACGTCTAACCGAGTATAGGGAAATATTTAATTGAAGCTCAACTTTAGCTTATGCACTTGTTTATTTCTAATTATTTTGAATATTTACTTTTTACAACTCTTCACAGAGGACGTCGATAACAGAAAATGAAATTTATGTTTCTCATGAGTATTCCATTGTGAGTCATCTATATCTTACATGAACACTGCATATAACATACGTTCAGTGTTTGATAAGTCATCAAAACTAATTTTTGTAAATATTTACACATTAAGAGTTGGACCATCCCTTCCAAAATCCTGTATTCGCCCTTGCACAGGTACGTCGAATGTGCGCTATGACACACTAAAATCTTAAAACTGGTTCACCTTTTTTGTGTTTCATCATAATTGGCCTATATTCTGGAACAGCCTTCTAGGTCTTGTGTGTTTCGTCATAAGTGGACAATATTCTAGAACAGCCTTTTAGGTCTTGTGTGTTTCATCATAATTGGCCAATATTCCTTAGTAGTCTTCTAAGTCTTGCGTTTCATCATAATTGGTTAATATTCTGTTCCAGCTTTCTATGTCTTGTGTGGTTAACCCTAATTGGTCAATATTCTGTAGCAGCCTTCTAGATGTTGTGTGTTTCATCATAATTGGTCAATATTCTTTAGCACCCTTCTAGGTCTTGTGTTTCGTAACAATTGGTCAATATTCCTCAATAAAGCACTACGAGAGTTACGAATTAGTTCAAATGTTTGAGTACAGAACTCTTAGGATGTTATCATTCCTTCTTGTAGATCTCCCTTTTCGAAATTTACGCATTTCAATGGAAATAGGATTCCATCAAATATACAATATAATTGCGCAAACATTAACGAATTGATTGAGGTACAAAGTATCCAAGAACTAAAACAATTTTCTCGATACCCGTGGAGGGCAGAGCACAGATAGCCCATTGTAAAGCTTTGTGCTTAATTACAAACAAACATTCATATAAACTTGACAGTATTTCCTTGGTGCTCAAGACATAAATATGAAAATAATGTGTTCAGGAAAATGTACGAATGAAACCATTCAGTGTGTGGAATACTTAAGATGAAAGAATTTTCTTTTTTTTTTCCTCACCAAAACACGAATTTCAGCGAAGAAAAGATGATATAGAGGCCTACTCTATTCTTTGATTTACTGTATCAAAAACAAACAACAAACCCGGATATTAGCGTTGTAAGTCCGCAGACATACCGCTGTGCCACTGGGGAGCATTATATGAATGTAAACTGATATGTTGTTAATTTTGTTTTAACTGACCCATTCTTGTTGTTTCTTATAGTCCGTTATTTTTACGACTGGTCAATGTTATGTCCTTCTTTTGTCATTTTTTACTGTGACACATGCTCCTTGTCTTGGAGTTATTTTTATTGTGGTCATCTGATGAGATCTGACCAAGTACATTCTCAGTATAAAAACGACACCTAGTGAAGTCTTTTATATACTAAGTTTATTTAGAAAAACGTAATTGTGGGCTACTTTAACATTTTCTAAATTGTATGTTTCTTATAAAGTTTCGCTGCATTCTCAGGTTTTTCTATTGCATGTTTTTGTGTTATTATTTCGTTAGTTTTATCTCGTGGTCATAACCACTATCTCCAATGTTGCTGTTAACAAAGTACTGACTGAATGCTAAAGCTTTTCTCGTGAAATTACAAACTTGTAACAGCTAATTAATTTATGTTGAATGTATCCAAGAAAATAAACACAAACAAAATGTTTAAACAAATCAGGACACTTCATTCACATGAAATCATTTCACACTTTTACGAACATTTTATAAACTTATTTTTTCTTAAATGAACATCGATTATCAATTGATTTTTAATACGTTTTAAAATATTCAAAAGATTTGTCAATTTAAGATATTTATTTTGTTTTATTGATAAAAATATTTATTGTTATCTAGATTGTCATCTTTTACAAATTGTATTTATCAAATAAAAAGGCTTAGGAAACAAAAAAAGTCAATTAAAATCCTTAAACTTATAAATTTTTGTTAAATGTAAAAAAAATAATATTATTTCAGCTCTTGTCAAAACTATAATATAAATATTTTCTATTTCATACCATTTTTAGGAAACTGAAAAGAGGGGGGGGTGTCTTTATCTTAGTGTAGGATGGACACAAGCTGACTTACAACTACATTGTAGTGGTCCGAACGAAAACTTTCTATGTAAACCTTTTGTGTAGTCCACTATCATTACCTAGGACCGACCACTACATAATTTTTCTCACTTATAACCAGAACTGGTCACTATGAAAGCATTTTGTAGCTCATTACCACTACCTACAACTGGTCACTATGTCAGCTTCCTCATCTATAACTACGACTGGTCACTATATCAGCTTCCTCACTTATAACTACGACTGGTCACTATATCAGCTTCCTCATTTATAACTACGACTGGTCACTATGTCAGCTTTCTCACCTATAACTACGACTGGTCACTATATCAGCTTTCTCATTTATAACTACGACTGGTCACTATATCAGCTTCCTCATTTATAACTACGACTGGTCACTATGTCAGCTTTCTCACCTATAACTACGACTGGTCACTATGTCAGCTTCCTTACTTATAACTAGGACTGGTCACCTGAGACTCCAAGGCAC